GGGAACGCAGGTAGGGCCAGGCCCCGGAGGAAGGGGAGGGAGGGACCAGGGAAGACCAGAGACAAGGACACGGGAGGCCATGCTTCGGAGACGAAGCAGGGAGGGGTGACCAAGGCGGTGGTGCCAGAGGAGAGTCTCGTGAGACAGGAGACGACACGAGCAGGGGGCAGACTCAGGACCAGACCTGGACGCTGCAGCAAACACCTGACCCGACGCAGCTACCTGACCAGACGCAGTGGCTGGAGGAGACGCAGTGGTTAGCGTGTACAGGCTCGACCCCGGCCGACGTGTAAACGTGGCTAGGTCTCGGCCTGTCCGAGCGTCTGTGCAGTGGGTCACCCGCTGACTCACAGGAGTGAACTGGTGAACCCCCGCATCCTGTAGGTCAGCACCACTCACCAAGTTCGTAGAGAACGAGGGGAGGTAAAGACCAGACAGGGTGCTAGAGGGGGCCGCCGGACACGGGAGGACAGTGGAGAAGTGAGCAAGGACAGGACCTCCAGAGGGGTCTGCCAGAGAGACTGCAACTGGCCGACCAAGCGGCATGAGTGTGGTGCGGTCTCGAAAGAAGGAGTGGGAAGCCTCCAAGTCAAGAGTGAAGGTGTCAGAGGCCGGAGCCGACGCGGTACCTGAGAGAGCAGACTCACCCGCACCTGAGGAAGCAGACTCACTAGTACCTAGAGCAGCAGCCGCACCTGTACCTGGAGTAGGAGACTCACTAGCACCCATAGCAGCAGCCTCACCAGCAGCTAGAGTAGCAGGCTCTATACCCGGGTCAGGCGGTACGCACACGTGGCTGGCACGGTCAGCACTAGTAGGCAATGCATACATGGCAGTGAGAATAGCATCATAGTCAATAGCAAATATATCTACCCTTTGCCTAAGCAACTCCAGCCAGTCGGGGAGCTCAGCCTCGTCGCCAAACTCCGTACGCCAGGCATCGCTCAGACGGGCAAAGCAGCGGGACTGTGTGTGACTAGGTGTCCCACAAGGCTGACCAGTCCGAGCACCAGTGCGAATCACGTAAGAGCAGCGAACAGAACTGAGAGACCCTCTACTCTGAGCGTACCACTCACGAAGTTGCTGGGGCGTGAGAGACGCGCGTGGGCGTCGCTGGAGCTGCATCTGGCTGCCGCCAGTAGTAGTAGCAGCAGTAGTGGTAGCAGTAGCAGCGCGGCCACCCCTACAACCCCAACCAGCGTACCACTCACGCAGCTGCTGGGGCGTGAAGGACTCACGCGGACGTCGCTGGGGCTGCATCTGGCATCGCCAGTAGAAGCAGGAGCAGGAGTAGCAGCAGTAAGGCAGGGAGCCAGGCAGGTTGAAAGGCAGGCAGGCAGGCAAGCAGGCGGCGGGCAGCGCGCTAGCAGGGCAGGGGCTCACCAGTGGTGGGAAGAGCAGGCTCGGCGACTCGGCGACTCGGGGCTCGGCGAACCGGAGACTCGGCGGTGCGGGCGGCTCGAGCGGCTCGGCGGCACGGTGGCTCGGCAACAACTGCGGCTCGGCGGCAACTGCGGCTCGGCGACTCGGCGGCTCGGGCGGCTCGGCGGTACGGCGGCTCGGCAGCAACTGCAGCTCGGCGGCTCGGCGACCCGGCGGCTCGGGCGGCTCAGGTGGCGCTGCGGCTCGGGCGGCTCGGTAGCAGGTTGGCGGCGCCAGCGGCTCGGTGGTGATTGCGGGGCCGCTTGGGGACGGCGGCGGGGCCGGGTGGAGCGGCGACGGGGCCAGCAGAGGTGGCGCCGGGGCCGCAGGGTAGGTGACGGGGCCAGCAGAGGAGGCGCCGGGGCCGGGAAGGGCGGCGCCGGGGCCGCTGAGGTAGGCGACGGGGCCAGTAGAGGCGGCGCCGGGGCCGGTAAGGGCGGCGTCGGGGCCTGCAGAGGTGGCGCCGGGGCCGGGAAGGGCAGCGCCGGGGCCGCAGGGGTAGGTGACGGGGCCAGCAGAGGCGGGGCCGGGTCGGAAAGGGCGGCGTCGGGGTCGCCGGGGTAGGCGACGGGGCCAGCCGAGGTGGCGCCGGGGCCAGGAAGGGCAGAGCCGGGGCCGCAGGGGCAGGCGACGGGGCCAGCAGAGGCGGGGCCGGGTCGGGAAGGGCGGCGCGACGCGGCCGCTAGGGCGACGCGACGAGATGGGGCCGCGACGGGGCAGCGAGGGGTCGCACGCCTAGAAGGAACGAGGCCGCGCGCCTCGGGGCGCGCGCTAGAGAGAAAATCGCCGCGCGCCAGGTCGCACGTCACGGGGCGTGCGACAGATCGAGTAGCAGCAGAAGCAGTAGTAGGGCCCACATGCCAGGAGCATATGTGCTCTGATACCATGTGAAAATGAACGAGGATGAATGCACTATGAAAGAGTTGGGTACAAGTACTAACCCTAATTGGGTTGTACCCCATATAAGCTACCCCACTACAGCCTACACAGAAGCATAAGCTATAATGTTCTGACAGGCGGCATTTCCCATTCGAATGGGAATCTCCCGACTGTAAGCTTGTCGAAGGTGGGATAATTTTCTTCCTCTGCTTTGACTGAGCCTGGTTCTTGTTCTTTGGTATCTCTGAACGCATTTTCCCAAATGTCAAAGTAGCAAATGCCACGTGGAAGGTTCCTCGGGGGATTGTGACGCACCATGCAAGTTAAAACCATGCTTTTTCCTTTGTCGTTATCGAAACGCATGCGGAGGAACTTGCGAGGAGTTGGCAACTGCGGGTGGCAAGATTGTCCGCAATTTGGTATACTTGATGTGCTTCTGCTACTGTTCGGTATGTTCTTAGAGCGGGTTGTCCTTGCGCGCGGTTGTTGTTATTCTCCGCTCCCTTGCGTTTGTAGCAATGGTAGATGGTATGCCCCATCTTTGTGTAGTAATTGTGGAACAATATCTTTTTGGCGGTCGGTGCTTCTCTGCTTACCTCATAGAAGACAATTTTCTCTCGTTTGTTGCCTCGTTCATCGTAGACGTCAATTTCCTTCTGCTCGGCGGAGAGAGTCGCATAGAGCGAGGCTTCGGAGGTTGAGCCTTGGGCGCGCATGAGCGAGTTTCACTTTTGCCATTCTGGTCCTAGGCAGCATGGATGACCGTCACTAACTTGTTGTCAGGGAAGCGTTCACTACTTTTCTTGAATGACAATAAGGGGAACATTCCATTTCTCAACTGTCGCTACAACAGCTGCGACTATCGCAATTCCTGCGGTTACCTTCAGCTTGAAAACTCTGTGTAAGTTGCAATTTGCGAAGCATTTCGCAACCTCTGGAACAGGATGGTCAACATCCGGGACACTTGACTCTGACCACATTTTCAGTTATTCCAACAAACCGGGCATCCAGAGTGCAAGTGTTATGACACTTGTTTCTAATCCTTCATGGTATGATGCCACTGAATGTGATTGGCATCTGTTGTAGCTGGGTAAGAAGATAAGAGCTTCTTTTAATGTAATACACATACATGGATACATCATCAGTCGTAACTTTGGTATGTATGCTGAGCTTAATTCTTCAGTAATTACTTTGCGCAATTACGAGGTCACTTATTCAGAAGTATACGAAACCTAACAAAAAATCAGGATCTTGGCGGGAAGTTGGGATAAACCTTTTGAGCTCCGAATGTTCCCCGTTTGTCCCAAATATGTTATTACTTGCCCTTTTAATGATTCACTTGTGAAGAAGAGGTCGTGAATGGGTGTTTGTTTCCGGTGGATCCCGTGCTTACCAGGGAATTGGTAACTCGCGCTTACGAAGTGCCCCGCACTACAAGTCGGTGGCGTCAGCACGAGTCCTTTTAAAGCTAATCACGTCACACGTGGAACTTCAGTTTCAAAATTTCAAATATTCGTTCCAAATCAATCACTCCTTCACGGTGGTCAGTAGATCTGGATCTGTTTCATTTACACTGCCCGCGCACTTCTTTTGATCCATTTTGCTTGTGACAGCTGGGTTTGGCGGGCTGGCTGAATCTCATAAACCACAAACCCCCGTGATTAGCAAATTGGCCGGGGGGGGGGGGGGGGGGGGGGGGGGGGGGGGGGAGTTTTTTCAGCCACTCGCCGCGCGGGAACGACGTGGTCGAAGGGTGGGTAGGTGATGCTTCGGCGAGGACGCTGCGGCTGGCAAGTTCACGAATGCGGGTGCGGAGGGAAGGGGTAGTTTGGGGAGAATGGGAAGTCGCCTCCGCACCACACTATAATTTTGAGTACATTTAGTTTTTCGGAATGCGATATGACGGGTATCTATTGTTCAAAAGGGCAAACTTATCAGTGCAGTGTGCAGGAGTGGAGTGGTTAGGCCATGTTACATTGTTTTTAACACATGCTCCATACCTTTTTGGGCTACAGCAAAAATATGAGCATCACATACCAGCGACCGGGGGAGGGCGGAGCGGAGCTGGCGGTCTCAGAAGGGAGGAGCAGGAGAAGAAAATCTGGTTGAGGCAGGTGAGAAGGAAAGAGAGGGAGTTTGGGGGGAATGAAGGATGGGTTTGGTGGGGGCCGATGCTGAGTTGTGTTGTGTGTGTAAGGGTTTGCGGTTTGAACGGCGGAGAGCGTATAAGAGCGGCGGCGCGTGACTGAATGAAACACATCAACCCCACATTTCCTTTTTTTCTGAGGCGTCCGACTCGTTGCAGTCTCGTTGCCCCTCTCCTTGCTCTCTCCCATCACCTCAAAACTCGAAGCCCAGACACCTTGTCAACAGCACCAAATCACTCTCCTTCACAGATCTGAAGTCCTCGCAGCCACTACTTCCGTGAATTGTTCTCCAACGGCGTCTCAGTAATTAAACAACCGATCAAGCCGCGTTCTTTACCGTTGCAATAAACTCGACTGATCTTGAAGCCATGGCGGGAATTTTGCTGACTCAGAAAAAGACGAGTGAGTGGATCTGGGGTCTGAAATATACATGTTTTTTTTGTAACTGAAAAATCCTCTTCTATATTGTGTTCTCAACTGCTTCGTGACCGCGCCAAGACGCATTGTTGCGATCTCTCTTGTTGTTTTTTCTTTTTTTCTGCTCCTAAGCAGACAACAACAAAGGCAGTCGAAGCGGAAAATCCAAAGCGGATCAAAAGCAGGTCAAATCAAATGAGGTAACGTATATTCTTGTTACAACTACGCAACAGTCATGGGTCTCACACGGGTCTGCTTCATTCTCAAATGATCGGACCTTCGAATATATCAACTAATTAAAATTTCACTTATCCGGCCGCATACTCGAAGAATTTAATTCACGTTCACCAGTCAACCCTATCGTTTTGTTTTCCGTTTTTTTTTTCCTAATTGTTTTTCACTCTCCAGACCACTACCGATACCGAAGACTCCAGTATGCCACCCAAGCCCTCAACTCCTGATGCGCCGCCAGCACGACCCGCGCTGACACAAGGCAAGCTATCGCCGACGGCTCCTGAGTTCAAATCGGAGCAGATCCACCCGCTTGTTCCCTTCGATCAGCCGCAAAACCCGGCGTCAAATTCAGATCACGGTGTTCCGGACATGCCGTACGGTGCCTATCCCGGCAACGGCTTTCTTCCCCAATACTACTACGACTACTCCGGAGGTACGCCTGTCACTTCCTCGTAAAAATGAAACCTTCTGCGTTGCCGGCGCATACCAGTAAAAGGACGACGCGAAAATTAAGCTGGCGATTGTGTCATCGATTTGTGCAGGGTTTATGGGAGAGCCAGGGAGCATGCCCCCTGAGCAGTGGGAGGAGTACATGCGTGCGGTTGGGGCTTGTGGAGTCAACCCTGACGGATCCCCGGCGGCGCCTCCCGTCCTGCCGATTCCCGTCGACGGTCAAGGCGAGGTACGAAATTCTCGTTTCGAGGGGTTATGATTGAGCGCGATCCTTTTTCTTCTATGATGGTTTGGGTTCAGGTTTATCTCCTTTTTCGATCTACCGACGTGCTTGGGTCGTACGCTTTCATTCACTGTGGTTTTGCTGTTCTGCTTTTCTTATATGCAGGCCTTCGTGCCATACGCGGGTTCGCCCCCACTACCGTTCAACAGCCAGTTCTACGCCCCACATGCCTTCCCGATTCAGCCGCCCATCTACCCGCCACCGGTTCTCCCGCCCCCTGCCGGTAAGAATCTGTCCGATCCATTTGTTTTCTTCTCCTCTCTCGATCGCTCTCGCCCGATACCTTTTTTTTTCCATCGAGTTACTGTAAATGGATAAATTACAACCATTGCGCAGGGCGCGAACTCCGGCTGACTCGATGCTGCCCCTCCTTCCCCTCCGCCCCTTTCATGGCTTATTCCTGATGTTTACTTGTGAGACGCAGATAAGATGCATGTCGTCGCTCCCTTGGGCATGCATAACCACTTCACGGATCCCTTATTTCTTTCACAACATCTTTATCGTTTTCATTATAATCATCATTCGTCAGGCGCCTTTGGCGACGTCAGACCCGACGGTCCTCCGGTCGGATTTGTTCCTGTTCCCGGCCAGGTGAGATTTTGCAGATCGGGAAGGATTTTGTAGCCTTTTTTTCTTTTTCTCGTGATGATGTTTTCCGTCTTCTTTTTCCAGTACAATTTCAGAGAAATTTTGTTTGTAGCTGCAATCACGTTATCATGGCTTCTTTGTTTGCCTTCCTCTGTCCTCCCGTATCTTAGTTCCTAACCGTCTTGCGTGTTTTCCATCTACGTTTTTTCCGATTCGCGATCTGATCTCGACCGCAGGTTGACACGCAGTACGGACAAATTCCGCCGCCTGGCTACTTCCTCCCGTATCAAGGCATGCCAGAGTTCCAGCACCAACACCAGCACCCCCATCAGCATGCGCACTCCCCGCTCCTCCTCGCTCCCCCCGCCGTTGCCCCTGTCGTCCTCCCTGCGCATGGCCTTTCCGCCGGTCCCCCAGGGGCGCAGCCCGGCGCGCCTGCGCAGGTGGAAGCTAGCGACGACGGTGGAATCAGCAACGGCATCAGCAACGGTCTTAACGGCCTTAAACTTGACTCCGCATCATCTGACGGCTGTCAGCCGGGCGCGAATGACACCGCGCATTTGGGCCCCGCAGCGGAACAGTACCGCGGTCCGCGCACGTCCCGCCGGCGCAACGGCAAGGTGGGGGAGGGCGCGGGGAAGCGCGCAACCAGCCCCAGTAGCGACGGTGGAAGCAGCTCCGCCAGCGGCAGTGCTTCCGAGGTAGCGGGGAATCAAGCGCAGCTGCAGATGCCGCCGAACGGATTCGCCCCCGTAGCCCCGCTGGGCGACCGCGCGGGGGCCGGCGGAAAGGACGGAACGGTGGACAGTTTGTCCGGATGCTGTCTGCAGGTGAACCGGCCCGACATGCCGGTTACATACGCGCTGGCGAAATTCTTCGTGATCAAGTCGTTCAGCGAAGATGACGTGCACAAGAGCATCAAGTACAACGTGTGGACGTCCACCCCCGGCGGCAACAAGCGTCTGCACGCCGCGTTCCAGGAAGCCTCCGCGCTGTCGAGTTCCCGCGGCGTCGCGTGCCCGCTGTTCCTGTTCTTCTCGGTTAACGCGAGCGGGCAGTTCTGCGGGGTTGCGGAGATGGTTAGCCCGGTGGATTTCCACCGGAGCGTGGGGTTTTGGCAGGAGGAGGAACGGTGGAATGGGCGGTTCAGCGTGCGCTGGCACGTGATCAAGGACGTGCCGAACGCGCTGCTGCGTCATATTGTCGTGCCCGCGAACGACAACAAGCCCGTCACCAACTCGCGCGACACGCAAGAGGTACGCTTGTGGCTTTTTATTCGTAATGGCATTCTTGTGGCTTTTACGAGTTCACATTTTCGTGAAATCGTGCCTTCAACTGAACGTTGTTGGTTGTTCTTCATCTCCCCCATCCCTTCCCCTCCTGCAACCCATCCTCCCCCCAACCCCCCCTTTTTCCTTGGGAACACTCCTTTCTCTATTTCATTTGAAAAGCACTCCCCTTCCGCGTGGCCCCATGTGCTGCGCTGTCGCAACAACGTTAGAGCAAGATCACGAGTCCCGATTTTAATCGAATTTCTCACAAACCCTGACATTTCTTGTGTGCAAGTTCCTCATGCCGCGCCTGTCCTTTTTCTCCCTTGTAATCAACCTATTCTCCCCCCCCCCCCCCCCCCCTTTTTTTTTCTATTTCTCCCCTTTTATGTGGCCTGTGCAGGTGCCGCAGGCGCAGGGTCAGGAGATGCTCGCAATCTTCCGCAACTATGCGACGCGCACGTCCATCCTGGACGACTTTAGCTTCTACGACACGCGCCAGCGCGTCATGCACGAGCGCAGGATTGCACGCCAGCAGCAGCAGCAGCAGGGGGGTGCGCAAGGGGGTGCGCAGGGGGGGCCGCAGGGGGTGGTGCCACAGGGGCAGGGGCAGGGGCAGGGTCAGCAGCAGGGGCAGCAAGGGGGTGTGGCATGGGGGCAGCACCAGCGGTTCCAGTCTCGCCCGCATCGCTCTGAGCCTACTGTGGTGCGTGCGTAGATGTGTGCGCTTTTAAAAGCATGTTCTCCTTTTTCATGTGCTCACAACAAGAGTGAACTTCGTCGCTCATGTTTCTTATGCCTTCCATTTTCGACCCTCCAACCCTGGCCTGTTGGTTGCTTGCAGCGTGATGCGCACATCAGAGTCGTATCTCAAGGCACTCAGCCCGCTGCCGCCACTGCTACTCCTACTTCATCCGCTGCTGGCCGCAGCACAGAGCAGGATCGTAAGGGAGCAGCAGCAGCAGCAGCAGTATGTGTGAAGGATGTATCTGGTGTAGCTGCAACAGAGGCAGCAAAGAATGCAGCACCAGCAGTAGCAGTAAAATCGACTCAAGCTGCCCCTGCTGCGAATGGGAGCGGGAGGGAATGCCCAGGCATGCACGCATCAGGCCCTACCTCTGGGCCTTCCATGGCACTTGGCAACGGCTCTATTGTGGTTGTCACTGCTGAGGCTTAGCTCTTAGTTTAGAATTCGAAATAAACGTACCGTTCACTGGAAAAAAAAGAGAGATGGGAAACCCAAGTAGGGAGAGGGCTCCCTGTTGTCCAGGACATGCGAAACTTTAGTGCTGCCTCCCATGTTTTTGGTTGTCGAAGGCAAGTCATGGGAATGGTATGGATGACTGGATGGGTGTGTGTCTCAGCCTACTTGGGTAGACTTGTTCTACCAGACTTAGCTCTTCTGCTTTCTGCTCTACGTGTTTGCCTCTTGCTTTTGATAGCTGATTCAAGGCCATTTGCACTGACTGATGGTAAGGTAGCATAGATCCTCTTGGATATTTTTTGTTTCCATGTGAGGAGTAGTTGAAATATTCATGTAACCGTGATTGTTGAAGTACCATATTGCCCACATTTTTTTTTCAATTTCTACTGTCATCTGATCCTGTGCTAAGTTAAACAGATAATGTACAGGAAATCAAGTGGAAAATTTGTTGATATTACTGTCACATGTGATCATAACAGCATGCAGAGGGAACTGGTGAAAACGCCCAGTTATGTGTGAACTCCTTGCTTGAACATCTTCTTAGACAGAATCCTCCACAGCTTCTTCTGCAATGCACAAAACAGAAAGACAGAGTAAGGATACGGTACCCACTCCACACCACACCACACCACACCGCACACACGCATGAAAATATTCCTCTACTAAATTCACTGCATGCACCCACCTCTGCTGCCGCGCCTCCCTCTGCGGCCTCTGCACCTTTCTCACACGCCATCATCTCGAGCTCGCTTCCATCACCATCCATACCCACTCCGCCATGTCTATCCGTGTCACTACCAGCGCCACCCCCCCCAGCCATTCCCGCAGCCATCGCTTCGCCGAATGCAGGGAGAATGATTCCCGCAGGCCTGCCGTTGCGCTTCTGCTCCCGCGCTTGGTTGAACTTGAACGAGTAATCCACCGCACCAGCTGCAGCAGCAGCAGCAGCCGCAGCAGAAGCAGCAAAGCCAACACCATCACCACCATCATCGCCACCACCACAGGCAGGATTAGCGGGAGATCCATCCGGGTCCATGGCAGCGCGGGCAGGGGGCAGCGGGGAGAAGGGTGAGAACGGAGTCACGCCACCGCCTGTTGTGCCTTTCCTCCCGATGTTGCTCGTGCTGCTGCGGCTCCTGCTCATGGCAGTTCTGCCAGCAGCAGAAGCAGCGCTAGAGGAGGAATAGGCAGAGGTGCGAGGGCTGTTCCTGCTCACGCTCCTCACAATGCTGCGCCGCCTGTCGACCCGGTTGGGAAAGGCAGCACCAGCACCAGGGGCAGCAACAGCAGCACCAGCAGCACCAGCAGCAGCAGAGCCAAGCCGACTGACACCACCATTACCAGCAGCAGAAGCAGCAGCAAGAGCACTAGCTGCAGCACCACCACTGCCAAACCCCTCCGTATCGCTGCTGCAGCTGCTTCTGCTGCGGCTGGCACTACCATTGCCATTAACACCCAAGCCCACGCTGCCCCGCCGTTCTCCCGTGCCTTTGCCCGACCCCGACTCCCAGGGTGCGGGCACGCCTCCTGCTCTCCTGCTGGCCCTGGCAGGGCTGAAGACAGAGGGAGGTGTGGCAGGGGTGCTGCGCGTGCCTGATAGCACCCGCTGGCGCCGCCGGGGGAGCTGCAGGGGGGGAGAGGAGGAAAGGGGAGGGAGGAGGCGCGGAGGGAGATGGAGTTAGGAGCGCAAAACAGGAGGTTGTGTGTCCTGCCAGCGTATAACAAGGGAACGGCGCAAGCACATGCGTTGCCCCCACCAGCAGAGCAGCTGCAGCAGTGTTGCTGCTGGTTTACCAGTGACGGCATCAAAGGCAAATAAAGAGGAACAAATAAGTCACGAAACGCTTAAACAAGATGCTCTACAGTGTTGCTTGCTTGCTTACCGGGGACGGAGTCAAAGGCGACAGCATCTCCTCGTCCTTGCTCCCACCACTCATCCCATCCCCATCCCCATCCTCCTCCCCTTCCTCCCCTTCATCCTCCCCATCTCCCCCCTCCTCACATCCCTTCACCCCCTCTGTCTCCACCACCAGCCGCCCATAAATCCACCCCTGCCCCCTCCCCTCCGCCGCCCGCCTCCTCTCCTGCTGCTCCGCCCCCCACGGGTCCTCCTCGCGCTTCCCCACCCCAAACCCCCTCGCCCCTGCGCCAGCGCCCTCCACCACGTCGAGATTGCCAGCAAAGCGGGGGAGGATGGGGGCGTTGCGCCCATTGCGCTTGTCCTCTCTCGCCTTGGTGAAAATAGCAGAGTAATCCTCCTCCCCGTCCCCCACTGGCAGCTGAAACCCCTGCTGCTGCTGCTGCTGCTCGGATGGTTGTTGCTCCAAAACACCAGCGCCCTTCCCTTGCGCTGCTCCTCTCTTATGAGAAGAGCTCCCCCTTCCCCCCAGTAGCCCCACGAACCCCTTCCCCTTTTCTCCCCCCCCGTGCCCTCCGCGCGTTTTCCCCCCTCCTAAAATCCATCCGCCCTTCCCCCCGCCCGTTTTGCCTTTTCCCCCTCCTCCTTTCCCCCCTCCGTCTTTAGTTTCCCCTTCTCGTTTCCCACCTTTCCCGTCTTTGCCATCTTCCTCCTTCCGCGGCTCGTTCCCTTCCTTAGGCGACTCGCGGCGCAAGGGTTTCCCGCCGCGAGACCCGCTGCTGGACTTGGAACACTCGGTGCCGAATATATCGGATAAGGATATCTCCGAGCCAAGTTCCGAACCATAGTGCGACTCGGCATAGTGCGATCCGAACTCGCTCGCGCGATCATCTCGGTCGTCCAGATCTTCCCCCTCCGCGTCGTCCGAACTTCCGTACGGATCGTCCGCCCCCTCCGCGATCGACGGGATTTCGCTCAGCGGCGGGGAGGGCAGGTCGCGACTCGGCTTGCGGGAAGTGCGGCGATGACGGGGATTGCCATCAGGAGCAGCAGCAGCAGAAGCGACAGTGGCGGACGCGGCAGCGACGGCGGAGGCTGCGGCAAGAGCCAGCGCGGAGTTGCTTCGGCTCTCCCGTCCGCGCGACGAGCTCCACACGGCACCGCCTCCGCCGCCGCCGCCGCCGCCAGGTTCGTGTGCACCGCGAGGACTATCGAGCCCGTCTTCCTCCGTGAAGCACGGCGCGTCTGACGTTGCCGAAGAGTATCTGGAGTCGATCGACGACATGCGATCGTGGCCGGCCGTCGGATTATGCTTCGCTATAAAGTTCCCGATAGCGTCAGATGCGGCGGAGGAGGAGGGAGAGGAGCCGCCCAGCGGACTAAACAGAAAATCGTTATCGCTCGCAGCGCCTTCAGCGGCGCCAGCGCCGCCAGCGCTGCAGCCACTGCCACTTCTATGGCTGCCGTGGCCGAAACGGCTCAGCGCGCTTGTCCCGCCCGTTCCCGCTCTTCCGCCTCCGCTACCGCCCGTTCCGCCGTATTTCCCAGGGCTCCCTTCCCGTTCCGCTTGTCCGTATCCGCCCTTAGTGCCTCCCGCAGCCGTACCGCGGGGCCTGATTCCCACTCCCCCGCCACTGCCAGTGCGCGCGAACATGCGCGCGCGGGGGCTCCCCGGAAGGCTCCCCCCGCTCCCGCCGCTTTCCGCGCCGCCGTTGTTGATGATCGTGCGCCGCCCGTTGGCAGCAGCTGCGGAGAGGAGTCCGCGCTGGCGGGGGCCGTCGCTGGTGGCGGGGCTGGCGGCGCTGCTCGGGGTGGCGCAGGGGGAAGGGCTTGCGGAGGGATCCCCCCCCGCGCTCGCGCCTGCGGACGTGGCGGCATCGGCAGAGAGATCGGCGCAGAAGGCGGGAGCGTGGTAGGAAGACAGGGCGGAGCCGCCGGAGGCGGAGGAAACGGCGGAGGAGCACGAGGAGGAGGAGAATCCTGACGTCGACGGGTCGCGCGTGTGCAGGAAAGTCGAAGCGGGCGATTCGGGTGGCACACCTTGATTGGCGCTCTCAGGTTGATGCGGAGATGGCGGAGATAGCGGGCCGTAAGCGGTGAATCCGCCGCCGCCGGCGGCGGCGCCTTTCGCGACGTGCAAAGCGGAGGGAAGGCGGGAGCCGGGGGGCGCGTGAAGACCGACGGAGCCGAGAGCACCTCCGCCTCCGCCTCCGCCTCCGCCATATGCCTGCGTGACGGCGTGCAAGGCCTTGCGCGAGAAGGAGGTGACTCGCGGGGAGGGGCGCGAGTCGCTGTGCGCGGCCGGTTCCGGCATGGCTGCCGCGCGGAGGATGGATTAGGGTCTATTAACCTCCTAATGAGCGCGGTTCGGAAGCTTGACACTGCAGGGAGTCGCTTTCAAAGATGGTTTCGGATCAGGGTCGTTGCTGCTGGAGCAGGCCGACTAAGAGCCGTGTGTCTGTGTGAGTGAGCGCACACCGTTTGGGAAAAATAAGGGAGAACGAGACGCTGCGACGGCGACGGCGACGGCGAGACGGTCAAAGAAAAGACATTACATGCTGTCGTCGCGAGCTGGCGGCGCAAGCAGTTCTTACACCCGTTTCATTTCCGCGACAATGGCTTGCTATCGTGTCACACTGCTATGTCCTGCTATTACTAGCTTCGTGCCAGCTCAAGAAAAAGGTGTCGTCGAGAAGAAGTACAGTGCAATGGGAAAAACCGGACCGTACTGCGAGAGACATGAATACCTCGGTGTTTCCATTCTCTTCCTCCAAAAACGACTAGCCGGGAGGGAGGAGCACGGCAACAGACGTGAACGTCCCTGCGGGGTTCCCGTTCCCGCGCGACCGCAAGAAGCGTCCTCCGCGTTTTGACCCGCCACACCGGCGCGGTGGCCATTGCGGTTTCTCCAGCGCGGCAAATCCGACCCGACGCGACTGGACTCGACTGCTACCCGATTCGACGACAAACGGAATCCGTTAACGGTGGGAAGGCGACTATTGACTCATGAGCGACCTCAACCAAGCCTGAAGCTAGGAGCAGGGAGGAGGCGGAAGCGAGGGTCAGTGGCTGTGGGAACCCACTGCGAGTGCTGCAGCGAAGGTGCGTTGGCAGCGAGGCTAGCGTGCGGCTTGATGAGGACGCTGACTCGGAAGTCGGGGCTCGATGCGGTTGCATCAGCCAAGGGGCGTCGCCGTTGTCGGCGACGTACCATCGCTCCCGCCATTGCCGCGGCGCGCTCGACTTGAGAGGTGGTGCTGTGATGCCTCGACTTCCTCCTGCTAAAGCCATTTCCGTATGACGGCCAGACGGGATTTTTTGCGTCATGTTTCGTAAAATACGTTACTTAACAGCGGATCGCTGTACAAGCTATCGTGACATCGTGCACGCTCATATTCTCGACCCTCCTCGTCACAGAAACCTCTAACGGCCAAAGGCCGTCTAGCCGTCAGTGTTACCGTGTGTGGAGGTCGTTGCGAACGGCACAGACAGATTTTTTTTAGGGGAAGCACTGGTATTAGTGTCATCGCTGCACTCACCAGTTTTGCTATGGTTGTGCTTGATTCAACCATGGCGCAGCGCAACTGCGCAGTGCTGACGGTTGGAACTGCCTGCTGCAAGGGTTGGAGTGGAGGAGGAGAACCGCAGCGTGCGCTTCGTCTCGTTCTCCTGCGATATTTTGGTCATCGGGCAGATTTCGGGAAAACCTCAGAACCTCAGGTTAAAACATTCCAATGCCATATGCATGAGCATTTATGGTTTGTGTAGGTGCAGAATTGAACTTTGAGCTCCTGCGTCCATGTGTCAAACCTGCATACATACCCTCTCAAACGAGACACTTTTTGGGATTATAGATCAATAGGATGGAGCTGCTGTTGCGAAAGCAAAGTTCCCGCCACAATGCGGTCGAGGTCATCGTGGTCAGAAGTGGATAGGTTGCGGAGGTTGCGGAGCTTCGCATCAGGAAAATTGTCCATGCCAGACAAAGCCTGTATGCACAATATTGAAGCTTTCGTTAGCCCTATACAGCTCTCAAGTGTTGTGTACCAGTGAATGTAAATAACAAGATGTAGGGCTGCACACCGTCTGATCTGTAAGTTCATAGCTGCCCATGTACTATGACGGCTGTATTATGGTTATCAACAGTCTATATAACTGTTGGCGATGCCACCAATAACGGTTTTGTGTGAAAGGGTCACCAACAAGCAACCTGTTATGAGTTGTATGAAAGAAGAGTGCGCAGAATGCAATATCGCGGAAGTGATTACAACTACTGAGCAAACATCGGGGCCTAGGCATAATATAGCAAGGCTAGCTAAGCCCGAGGTCGCGAAGTCGTGCGAGGGTTGGGTGTAGGTTTGGGTTTGGAAAACCCGAAGGCGACGCGGAGGACGTTCGGGAGGCGAGGTCGTCGGACCGAGCCTGAACTCTGAAAAGTTGGAAATGTACGCGTAAGCGGTGCCTCAGTAAGGAATTAGCAAAATTCCTTACACTACCCCCCCCTTCAAGAAAGGTGGTCAATATCAGGCACGTGTCGGCGAGAAAGATACTGCCGGAGTACCGAGTGCCCTTGTAGTGAGTCAGCCGGGACACACGTGTCGTCGTCACTTGTGCGATCCACCCATCGCAGTAGAAAATCGACGTGGCGGCCGGCTGGGGTCGCACGAATGCGATGATTCAATATCTTCCAGGGTTGGAGCGTGGGATCTGCTACCAGTCAGACACTTGGCGCCTAGTGGGGTCGAGCGACGTCGGAGGACTGGGGTGCCACGTAGTGGCGAAGTAAACTGACGTGGAAGGCGTCGTGGATATGTCAGTCGTCCGGGAGGAGAAGTTTCGCAGTGACCGGTGTCAGCATTCGAATGATGCGGAAAGGTCCCATGTATCGAGGACGCAGTTTTGCGGGTTGGGGTAGTCTGAGGTTTTTGGTGTCCAGGAGAACCATCTGCCCCTCGCGGAAGGGTAAATTTCGTCGGTGTTGGTCAGCGTAGCGGCTGGCGGTCGAATTTGCTTTTCGGATAAAGTCAGCTGCTTTGGCACGCGCGTCCTGGAGTTCCGAAATAAACTGCTGTGACCTGGGTACCGGGTTGTCGGGAGTAGTCAATGAGGGTACCACCGAGTCTATCCCGTAATTCAGGTAGAAGGGTGATTGCTTGGTCGTTGCAGATGGGGCGTTATTGTACGCAAACTCGAGCATGGGAAGGTAATCTTCCCACTTATTGATGTCCAAGCGGTTCGTGCGAATCAGCTGCTCCATCGTTTGGTTTGTCCTCTCCGTCTGTCCGTCGGTTTGCGGGTGGTAGGACGACGAAAATTGCAGGCGGGTGCTGTACTGTGCCCATGTCTCCTGCCAGAATTTCGACGTGAATTTCGGATCTCGATCGCTGATGATCGCCGAAGGTAACCCGTGGAGTCGTACGACGGTCGAGATGAAGATTCGCGCTGTTTCTTCGGCTGTGATTGTTGTACAGCAGGGCGCAAAATGCGCCATTTTCGTTAAGCGATCAGCGACGACGAGCACGGAGTCGTTGCCACTTGCGCCAGCTGGAAGGCCCGTGACGAAATCCATAGTCACCTGTTGCCACGGTCGTTCGGGTGGCTCGAGGGGCTGCAGTAAGCCAGCTGGTCGTTGTCGTGATGACTTCATTGCCTGGCAGGTCGGGCAGGCGGACACATAGCGCTGCACGTCTGACGCCATGTTGGGCCAGTAGTAGTTCCGCTGCAGCAGCTTCAATGTTTTGTCGACGCCGAAATGCCCGGAGAGGTTGGATTCGTGTACTTCTTGCGCCAGTAATTCGCGTAAGGGTCGGTAGGAAGGTACCTAAACTCGGTTAGTACCGACTTTTAGGTAGTAACTTCCATGCGGTGTAGTGACCCCGCGGTGTTGATTGGTCCTGAAAAATCTGTCAATCCTGTAGCCGTGCTTGAATAATCCTGCCAATAAAGAGTTGGAATGGGCGATTAGTACTGCTGCGGTCTGCATGGATGGGCGGGTCAGAGCGTCGGCGATGTTGTTGGCGCCCTTTTTATATGTGATGGTGTAGCGGAAATTCGATTCGAGGTAGTCGAGCCACCGGATTTGTCGTGGGTTGAGCTGTGGTTGGCTGCGCATGTACTGTAGTGACTTGTGGTCAGTTCGGATTGTGACATCCGCTCCTGTGAGGTAGCATTGCCATGTTCGAAACGCCTGCACGATGGCGAGCATTTCCTTGTCGTGAACCGGGTAGTTGCGCTCAGGCGGCTGCATTTTTCTTGACTCGTACGCGATGGGTTGCAGTCCGTTGCCGAAGTCCTGTAATAGCACAGCGCCGACAGCGAAATCGCTGACGTCCGTCACGACTTCGAACGGTCGGGATGGATCTGCCAGTCGAAGCACCGGGGGTGAACTCAAAATTTTCTTCAGCTCGTTGAAAGCCAGCTGTTCTCTCTCCCCCCAAAAAAACTGCACGCCCTTATGCAGGAGATCGGTTAACGGCCTGGTTACCCCCGCCATATTGGGTACAAAACAGCGGACGTAGTTAACGAAGCCGAGGAAACTCTGCAACTCAGTGATGTTCGTGGGCGGCTTCCACTCCAAAATCGCTTTTACTTTTTGAGGGTCGATTTTAATGCCTTCCCCAGAGACAACGTGCCCCAGAAACTCCAGCTCCGACCGTAATGTCGAAATATATTTGTTATGTTTTATAACTGCTTGTAGTTGTAGTTAGTGTAGTTATTTAAACTGTTGTTGGTGGTGCACCTTATTTGGTTTCTATGCTATATGTACCCTTGAACCTATAGTGAAACCATCACTTTTCTCCAATTCCTCTCTCAACTCACTCGATACCTCGCCTAGGGTAAAACCTACTCGACACCTAATCTCGGGCCTAGGCTCCTAAGCCTAGGCCCTAGTTAATCTTAACTCTTCCTCGTGCAACTATTTTCGACATGGTATCAGAGCTAATTACGACCTGGCCTGTGGGCCCGCCCTACGCTTCCGCTATGATTTTTCGGTCGCGCGCCTAGGGCGCGTGACGATTTTTACCTTGTCCCGCCCACGGGTGTGTGACTCCTACTCTGCCCGTCGCGCGCCCCGTCGCACGCGACGGTGCCCTTCAACTGCCCATCGTGCGCCCCGTGGCACACGATGGTGCCCTGCTCGTCGTGCGCCCCTAGGCACACGATCGGGCCCTCTTTCTTCTCCTACCCGTCGTGCGCCCCGTGGCACTGGCACGCGACGGGCCTTTCCGCCCCTGCTCTCCCTGAAGCCGCCCCTGGCCCATCTGCACCGACACCTTTTCTCCGCTCTGCGGCTTTCTTCATGCCCACCCCCTC